CCCAACGCCTATCACTTTGTGGTGGTGTAACCGTTGCTGAGAAGCCTGTATCTTGTTCAGTTGCGACTGCTGAAGACTCTGCTTTATTCTTATCTTTGTTTTTCAAACTCGGACAATCTTTGACCCAATGACCTAGTTTGTGACAATAATTGCAATTGCCTCGTTGCTTGGATTTCCCGCGATAACCAAGTTTACGAGACTGGGAGTGGCCACGATTTCTTCCCTATATTGTTGATCGTCTTGGTCTCTTTCGACAAAGAGACCCTGACTGTTGTGGTTGTTATCTCGTGAACTGTTACCAATTTTCATCTGAATTCGTTGTTCTTCACAGATCATCCCTGCTTTCACATCAGACAAAGAAATAGAATCTCTTCCGTAAATAAAATTGTTAGTGAACTGGGAATATTTCTCGGGAAGTGAATACAACAAAATCAAAGCGAGTGCCTCATTATCTGTGGCAAAAATAGAATCTGTTGCCTTCAACTTCATATAGTGTCTTCGAATTCAGTCATGTAAGCCTGAATACTTGTACCTTCCTTCATTTTGAAGAATAAGCACGACCTCATCAGTAACAGTCGGTTAGTCAAAGTTTACTTGAGATAAAGATTCTCAAGTCTTTTCCAAATCCCTGCGGCTGTCTTTTCAGAAACAATTTCAGAAATAACATTTGGACCCATAGCCATTTGTAAGGTAGTGAAGGCCCAATCCTCCATTTCCTTAGCCTCTAAAGATGACATCTCAGGATCTTTTTCTTTCGGAGCAAAGACTACGGGGTGGACATCATTTTTCCTAAGTGCTGCTGCCGTAGTGAACTGCCATTTACCAAAATCACCTTCCCCATTCAATTTTTCTATTCTAATCCCGGACCCCGATAATTTAAAAGCACCCTTCTGATAAACATTTGGATTCGGGTTGGAACTAGGACCGGCAAACGGATTTCCTGAATCGCCAGACATTTTACCAGGCACTTGACGTGCAAATCAAAATATACAATCTATTCAAATTTAGATCTAGCAAGCTCTGATACCAATTATAGGGTCGGTCGCAGTTAAAATATCGTATTACAAAGTGATTTACGGTCCCAAAGTGATAACAATAAATCACAATGCAAACTGACCCAATACAACAAATGTGGATTAGCGAGATCTATATATTGTATATTTTTGTCTAACAAAACATACTGATCCACAAATGTAAAATTAGCAGTTATATCAGGTATACGATCAAATATCAAAACGACATGTAAATCGAGACAACGAGATTTAACGTGGTTCCACTATCGAGGTGATAGTGTACGTCCACAGGGAGAGAG